TTAGGACTTTAGGACTTTAGGATTTTCGGTTTCGTCATTAGGATTAATGAGTAGGCCTTACTAAACAGTTAACTAGTTTACTAGTCAGTAGCCGCTAGCCTCTAGCCGCTAGCCTCCTTGGCCTACTGGCAGTTACTAGCCATTAGCTTCATTAGCTGCATTAGCTGCCAGCCATTGTGACATTGTGGCTTCAGATTCGAGATTGGGTCGATTCTGTTGTATCGAATCAGTGATTGGTTTGGGGTTTGGACCTGTCGGCATGGGCAGCTTTTGCTTCAAGATCCACTTGGTTTAGCCGACGCCGTAGCAGCCTCGACGTAGCCATGAAGGCGATGAAAGCTGTGACGGCCATGAAGGCGATGAAAGCCGTGAAGGCCATGAAGGCGATGAAAGCCGTGACGGCCATGAAGGCGAAGCCCAAGGCGATGAAGGCCATGCAAAAGAAGCCCACCAAGGCGATGCCGGCCGTGCAAAAGAAGCCCAGCAAGGCGATGCCGGCCGTGCAAAAGAAGTCCGCCATGAAGGTGACGAAGACGATGAAGGCCGGGAAGACAGTCATCAATGAGCCCGCGGCGCGCTTTATGCCTGAGCCTGACTGGGCGGCTGTGATGAACCTCTACGGTGTGCCGGTGTTGGGTGGGCAGGACAGAGGCGAAGCTGAGATAGTCCAGATGATTAACGGCCGCACCGTCTGCAACTTCAGCATTTCCAGGGACGCCTCGGTTGCCGGTACCTTGCTTTATTCAGCCTTACTTACTTACTTACTTACTTATTTAACTTAGGCCTCAGTGTTTAGGGTCTGGGATAGTCACTAGTCTACTTTCATTAGTTAGGTATAGTTCTTTTGTTTCCTGGGTTAAAACACTTAAGACTACTAGCCTTACTAGCCGCTAGTCAGTAGGTTACCAAGTTGCTTGGGCTAGGGCTCCTAGGGCCTAGGGTCACTATTGTAGTTGTTTGGTTAAGTTTAGTTTAGTGGGACTTAGTTTCGTGGGGTCCGTGCTTGCAGATCTCATCCGCGAAGCAGAAGATCCGGGGTGTGGTGCCGCGAAATTGAAGGCCAACATGATCTGTGTGAACTGCATCGAGGTTTGAGACAAGCCTTCAAGATGACTCGTGGCTCAGGCTCTGATCTCGGCCTTCACTAGTTAATAAACTGCTAAGCCTTGCTAAGCCCTAGGCCCTAGGCCCTAAGCTGCTAAACAATTTCTCGAAGCTGTGGTCTTGTGCCGGGAGCAGGGTCAGAGTGAGACTTTTGGTCCATTGCCATAGCCATGGCGGCCATAGCGAACATAGTCCTGTACTAGTGACATAGACTTAGACTGACTTACACATACACGACATAGCTGACATAGCCGTTGTCACGGGTTGCCTTGGCCTTGGCTGCAGCTCTCCAGTGCGGTGGAAAAGTGGCAGTGCAGTGTCCTACGAGCCTAACAGACCCAACATCACATCCTCGAGCCCTCGGCCCTCCACCCCAAGCCCTAAACCCTAGGCCCTAAACCTGAGCCTAAACTTTGGCCTAACCCCTAAACCGGCCCGCCCGGCCCCAAACCCCGTGTGCACTTTCCTTGGCCCTCCACCCCCACCCCTAAACCCAGCCTAAACTTCCTAAACCCTAAATCGGCCCTCAACGCCCGGCCCCAAACCTTGTGTGCACTTTCCTCGACCCTCCACGTGTGCACTTTCCTCGGCCCTCCACACCTAAACCCGAAACCGCCTTCAACGCCCGGCCCTAAACTCCTAAACCTTGTGTGCACTTTCCTGCCCTCCACCCCAAGGCCTAAACCCTGAACGCCCGGCCCTACCTAGGCCCTGGACTCTAAACTCTAAACTCTAAACCCTAATAAGCCCTAATAGCCCTAGTAACCCTAGTAGGCCCTAAACCCGTGGCCCGTGTGTGCACTTTCCTCTCCCTCCACCCCCAAACCCTAAACCCGAGCCTAAACCCTGACCCGGCCCAAAACGCCCAGAACTCCTAAACCCTGTGTGCACTTTTTGACATTTCACCCTCCCTGTCACAAACACGACACCGCAGGCGCCAGCGGCCGCCAGCGGCGAGCGTCGACAAGGTGATTGTTGGGCTTAAGGGCGTTAGGCCTTAGGGTTTAGGGTTTAGGGCACTGTCGTTGACAGCAAGGGGTTGGATGTCATCTTTTAGTACACGGGTCGCCTGCTCGGGTCGTAGGTCCTAGGTCGTAGGTCCTAGGTCCTAGGTGTTTCCAGTGACGGTCTTTCGTGCTTCGGGATTGGAATATAGCTGCTAGAGTCTAGAGTCTAGAGTCTGCTCCGGGCTGGAGGTTAGTTCAAGGGTTTCTGGCTGTGGATTTCAGGAAGCACAATGTCCGGCTCGAAGGTTTCAGTCTTCGAGGGTGTTCCCCAAAAGAGGGTGCTTGGTCTTGTCTTTCAGCTTTCAGGCTTTAGCGTTTCAGGGATTGGAGCTGAGGTTTATTGGTTTAGGTCTATGTCTATGTCTACGTACACGTAGATCGTCGACATAGGCCTACGTCGCCTACGTGGGGTTTCATGAAACTGGATCACGGGGGCTACGGCCTACAGTTTTGGCAAGGGCCCCACCAATTCAGTACTTCGGGTCGATACAAATCCTGGTTACTTGTTGAAGCCAAATTAACAACCCCAAAGGACCAAAGGACTTCATCTGAGGCTTCCAGCCAACGGCCTACCCCGATCGTCCTATGCAAGCCCTTCGCCCAGATAGCTGACAGGCCAATACCTTACTGCAAGCACTCTACTTATCCTAGACTATACGTGGGTCTGACCCTAACCCTAAAGGCCCTAGAGCAAACAACGAGCTTCACAAGCTAGTCGCATTCATCATTCATCGTCAACCGTTTACCCTGCCCTACCCTGCCCTACTGGATACTCCCAGAAACGACAGGAGCCCGGAGAAAGCATGCACTGCCTGCGATGTTCTTCAGACTACTCTAGCCTCTCCTCTCTAGCAGCTAGCACTTCAAGCTCAGACCTGAGCTCCTAGCAAGCATTTCGAGGCGTAGACCCTAACCAGGTTTTCCGTAAATATCCTAGATCCTCGCTTCGGGATCCCATAACCTTCAAAAGCCTTCAAAGCCTTGAAACTGTTCTGAGTTTTCCTCCTCTGGAAGGTCGACGTCGTCATGCCGAGTGATTCGACCACGTGTCACTTCAGATTGTGTGTTGTAGATCCTAGGTCCTAGATTCTAGATGTACCCTAAACCCTAAACCCCCTAAAGCCTAAACTCTAAACCATTCTACATTCTTCATTCCCGGGTCTAGGACCGGGAATAGAGTGTGAGCTGGTAGAGTCCAAAAGAGTTCGTACGTTCCTAGTCCTAGAATTGTTTTGCGTGTTTAGCGACCATGTTTCCTGATGGCAAAGCGCTTAACTAGATTAACTAGATTCGCCAGATTCCAAACATTACATAAATAATACATCGAATGGACTCAACCGATGTTGTTCCCACAAACCTGGCCCGCTTGAGAACACTTCCGTTGCCACGAGCAGTCACGAGCAGTGTCGTCATGGCACTCTTGCGAGAAAAGGATTGAAATTCCGGCTCTTCTACAGTCTACAGTGATTCTACATTCTACAGGCTTACAGGTCTTTTGCAGACCTCGCCTGGCAGGAATGAAAGCAAGGGTGCAGTAATTAATTCCATAATTGCATTCAATATAGTAAATAGTAAATAGTAAGTAGCCATTCAACAGTATCCAGGTGTTGGGAGAGACGAGTGGGATTACGATATTTGGGGCCTTTGGAGCCTTTCGGGCCAGGGTTTAAGAGTTGGGGTTTAAGATTGTTGTAGTGTAGTTTAGTTACTTCAGGGCTCGTGGATACTCAGAAGGCAGCATGTCATCTGTTTCTGTAAGGCCACATTGTTCGATAGTGCTGGGCACTGCAGATGCACTTGCTTGTGTGATATTGCCGAATCCTGGCGAGCCTTTCAGGCCCCCTTAAATTTGTCGGCATTTCAGTACGTCGCGCTGTGGCTGGTCTGTCTTTCCTTCTTACTTCCTAGGTTCATGCGCGACCTTCGGGCCGTTGACATCGCCATCGGCTATCACGTGGTGTCGCTGAACCTAGACCTCTCGGACTGGCTCATGCAGTCACGTGCCCGGTCTGCCGGGCATGATTCTTCGGCATGTTGCTCATGTGCCGGCTTGGCTGTGGTGCGAAGTATTATGATGTCGGGAATGTTCAATTGTGTTGCTGGATTCTCGAAAGCACAAGGTACAGGTACAGGTTCTGCCTGTCACTCTCACTAAAGTCAACTGCAATTGCCGCTGCAGGAGTCTAGTCTAGTGGCTCTTGTGTGTAGCCGGGCCGCACGGTGCTTTGTTTGCAAGGCTTTGCATGTTGCTTCGCAGGATGTAAGCCACCAGCCCATGGGGCCATTACATCATCACAGGTTCAGTGATTGGTTTCGCCACGTGCAAGGATTGTCTATCGCAAGAATCACTCGATCACTAGAGTCACGTCTCTGGATTTACGGAGGATGTTCTTCTTTCGCCGCATTCTCGCCAGAGAAGAGGATCATAATTTTTTGAGGCCGGTCACATGTGTGTGGCAATATATGGCAATGTATGAAAAGCTCCATCCAAATATCAGTTTGTTCGTCCTCAGACGTGAGACCTAGGACCTAAGCCCTAGGCCCCAAGCCCTAAGCCCTAAGCGGCTAGCGGCTAGCGGCTAGAGCTAGAGTCTGCTAGACTGTTAGAGAGTATGAGTACCCCGCAGACCAGGATACTGGGCGTTCCGAGCTATTGAGCAGCTATTGTGTTGCCGTGCTGCATCCAAACCGATATTTGAATTGACAACCCCAGCAAAACCTCATCCATTGCTGCCATTGCTGCCATGGCAAGGGCATAGGCATAGATATGGGCATCTCCGGGCATCACTTCGCATCCCACTCATGCAGCGGCTGCACTCCTGAGATCTGCAGGGCCTGCTTGTTGCGAGACACACATGTCTGGGTGGGCCAAACTCGCTTCTCGACTCTGTTTTGCGGAAGATGAAAACCTGCAATCGGAATCAAGTCAAGCCCCTGCATCCAGCAGTTCGCGGGGCACAATCCGGGATGGGGCTGTATCTTCTGCCAAGCGAGGGCCCGGCAGACCTCGTGGCAGTGCCACTGTAAGGGCGGCTGCAAAGCAGCAGGAGGCGCTGCAAGAAGAACTGGATGAGGGAGCGGACGAGATGATGATCCGAGCAGAGGAGCCCGTGCTCCTGGCTTCGGTGCCAGACCATACCGATACGTCACATTTTCCGTTGGAGTCATTTCGGGACAGGGGCACTGCTGCTTTAACAAGCTGGATTGAATCTTATGTGTTGCAGCATCGAAAGCAGCGGCAGCAGCAGCAGCCGCCGGCCGAGGAAACCCAAGAAGAGGACCCGCAGGGCTTGAATGATTCGAACGTGCTTCAGCGGATTATGCAGAACAGCAGTCATCTTTACAGCAAGCTGTGTTTAGGGCATGCTGTGGGACTTTCCAGAACGAGCATCTGCCGCAGTTTAAAGAGATGTGCCTCGGCTCTTTTGCATGGTCAGCGTATTCTGTGGTCTCGGTTGCTTCACAGGATTGGCACCCAACTGCGTGCGGGTGAATGTGAGGGTCTGCTGATTGCTCGCATGCGCAAGTATGATGAGTCCCCGTTCTGTCTGCGAATCGATGAGTCCGGAGAGGTGGTCGGACTAGACAGGAGGCGCAGCCGTAGCCGTGGCCAGCAGCAGCAGACTGAATCTGCTGGTTCCCGGGCCAAGCTTGTATCCTCTTTCCACCGACTTTTCATGGTGCTTCGCCGTCCCTGCAAGGACGAGGACGGTAAGTTTATATATCAGGCCCTGACCGGTTCTCTTCCGCATCGTTTGCATGTGGTGGAAACTGTTTCTGCCCAGAATATGAAGGCGTCGCAAGATGCTTGCATTGCAGACCTCCCCATCCCTGAGGACTTTACTTCGCTTTTCAAGATGAGACTGATGTTGTCTTGCACGGACCGCCACTCGAGCAACTTGTCCGTAGAGAAGAAACTACAAGAAGAGCATGAGTCCTGGACATTTGCCCAATCTCATTGCACCATGCACAAAGCAGCCGACGCACAATCCAGACAGTTTGAACTTTCGTCGGCTCATGTTTCTGGGATGCTGTCAGCAAGTATTTCCATGCAAGCTGCTGGGACTCATGGGCAGCTGAAGGCCATATTGAATCAGATTTTCGAGGAACGGTTGGTTGTCCTTCATGGGAATCTGCAGTTGCGAGAGCATCGGCACAGCTTGTATGAGCTCCTGCTTCCTTTGTCAGGTCCCGAGAAGCTGAGACATGCAAAGCAGCGTTGCATCCTTGATGCATTGTTCAACGGCAACGTTCAGGATCAGGGTCGAATCATTCATATGACGACGAACCCCAGCTGCAACCGTGACACCATGCTACTGTTGTTCTGCTCCTTCGGGGCGTGGGGGCTGCTGGGGGGCTCCGCAGCCCCGTTCTTTAACCGCTCGAAGTGGTTAGGTGGCGAGGTGGCCGTGAGCTGGCATGCACTGCTTGCCAACACCCATGGTTTGCACCAGGAGCTGTTCCAGCGGTGGTCTGCCGTTGCCAAGCCGACACCTAGCTGCCACGTGACACCAGGATCCTCCTCGGCGGGCTGGTCCGCGGTTGCGTCGAGAATTGTGGCTTCGAGCATCTTGGATGGGCCGGCTGATGCTGCCGCTGCGGCTGCTGCAACTGCTGCTGCAGCTGCTGCGGTTCCAGTAACTGAAGAAACTGATGAAGTTTTCGATGGTGTGGCTGGTATGGGTGCTGCAGCGGATGAAGGCGCGAAGGATGCCACCACCCTGGATTGGGGGGCTTGGAATCGTGCGAACAAACGCAAGGCCATCGTGTGGTCTCTTTGCAACCCTGGCACCGTATTGCTTGTGATGCGCGTTTCCATGCAGCCTGTGATAAACCTTTTGCACGCGCTTTTTCGATTGTCCGCGGACAAGTTTCAAAAGGATCAGCTGCTTGCGTCTGTGCGTGGGGAAGACAGGAAGTTTCGACTCACAGAACTCTTCTTCGGCGAATTGCTGCCAGAGTTCCATCGGGACATGAACACAGCATATCAGTCTGCGATGAAGGCTTTGCCTTTCCAAGGCATGACTACAGCCATTCGTGGCCTAGCCACACGCATGCTGACACGAGCATATGCTTCCTTGCATCAGACTCTCTTCTGCAATCGCGCATCGTCACTGGTGATGCTGTTCAAAGTTCTTGTGAGTGGCTCCGAGAAAGATGCCGCCGCTCTTGCTTTTGCAAATCTGAAGGAGTGTCTGCTGGATGACATCTCCAAGAGCTTTCGAAGCTGCTTTGCCGATCCCGAGGCCGTGGCATCGGAGGAGGCTTCGGCTATGCTGGAATGCATTGCAAGAGAATATGACATTGACACACTTCAGGTTGAACGTGGTTTTAGCCAGATCCGTCGCAGAGTCATGGCCAAGTCGGTCCAGACCTGGCGCCCGTCCCCGGCTGACGTGGCAAGCGAGTGTTTGATGCGGCACTGCGCACTGGACAAGCAGCGACAGGAGTACTTTATGGGCCGTCGTTCGAGTGTCACGGCCAGGCTTGCGAAGCCACGGCAAAGCAAAGGGCCTACAATGCAGGGAGGTGGCCCTTGGCGGGCATTCATGCGCATCCGTTCACAGGGTCGGAAGTTCACGGGTCTACAGTCGACGCAGCTGGCCAAAGAGTACCGTCATCTCCAGCACAACGACCCCGAGGCCTTTGCTGTGCTTGAGAATCTTGGTCATTTGGCTCATGCTCGAGTTGTGCAGGATGCACAACAATGGCAGCAGAATGCAGGCCAAAGCACACAGCCAAGACGTCCGGCCTTTGATTTTGAGGTGTCCCAGCTCCCGAAGTCTGTGCTGGAATCTCTGGGTGTTCCGGATGATGATGCTGATGATCCAAATTTCCGTGCTGCTGCCTCTGCCGAAGTTCCGGCAATTCTCGGTGTCGAGGATGAATTGCGGCGACTCGTGCAACAGAGTCGGCAAGCTGCAATCGAAGCAAACGCATTGGAAAATGCGCTGGGAGCCGAAATCTGTGCCAAGTCGGCTGAGGTCGCCGCAACGCCTCATTTCCGGAGCCTCAACACACCGCACACGTCCCAGACTGACGCTGAGAAGGCCTTGCTGCTTGCGTCCTCCAGCCCCGACTTCCTTTGTGTTCCGGGTCAACCTGCCGTGGCCGTTTTCTCCCCGACAGCACCGGCGGTTGTCAAGGACACCGCTCGTTCACGTGCGGTTGACTCCGAGGTTAAATGGTTAAATGATTAAATGAGGTTTTGATCGGTTATACGGTATACGGTTATACGGCATTATACGGTTTTAGTGATAGTGGTTATAGTGATTATAGTGATTAGATTGATTAGATTCTAATTAGATTATAGGTCCTTATTATAGGTTAGATTGATCATATGATGAGATGATTTGATTATAGACTCTAATCTAATCATCTAACAATCTAATAATAATCATCTATAGATTCATAGATGATTCATATTGGATTGTTAGATGATTAGATTCATCAGAGCTCGAATCTATTTTTTAGTCATTATTAGTTAGAGTTATAGTTACTGTTTGGTTCTTAGCTAGTATAGTCGTCGCAGGGATATTTTAGAGCCTATATGGGCTATGGCTATGGAAGTCTTCCGTCTTAGTCTTAACATGGTAAGTATGCCGGCGGTGCACATCATTTTGGCCAGTGGTTTGGCGCTAGCAGCATGAATTTCAGGTTTTCGTTCATATCTATGTCTACGTCTACGTACGTCTCGGAAACAACATCCGCCTGATTTCTTCCCAGGACATCTTCGAGTCGAGCAGAACAAGAACAGCTCCTGAAGGTTTGTTGTCTGCCTTAGAAAGTGATTGGTTCGACAAATGCCAGATGCTTCGATCTTGTGACACCGGTCGCCAGTCTTCGTCGTCGGCACCAAGACAGAAAGTGCTGGGTGGCTGTTCAGTGCTGGCTTTCTGTGTTTGTTCTGGCAAGGGGCTGCAGGCTTTTCGCATGCACAGCAACCTCGTGAGCTACCTGAAGCCTTTCACAATGACACCGCGACGGCCTCGCAAATCCCAGAAGGTGGATGCTTCTAATGCCACTGAGCAGAAGCCGACCCCTGCCAAGAAGACCGACACACGCTTGCTTCTGGACAGTGCATCCTTGTGCTTGCTCTTTCAGCCCGCTGCGATGGGCGCTGGAGCCGCTGGTGCAGATGTGGCCTCCGACGGCCAGGACCCGGCGGTGCCAGTTGCCTTGGACGAGGAGCTTGCCGCAGCTGGGGCAAACAGTGGCTGGCTGAAGCTAGCGCAGAAATTGCTCAGCAATGCTGAGCCTTCGGAAACATGCAGGCAGCCCGGTCCAGCTTCCGAGCAGCTTGAGAGTCATTGGGTTCACGTCGGGTATATGAACCACAGGTCTTATGTTCTGTCGTGGGTTCCACTCCTGCCGGATGGATCACATCCACATGGAAACGAGGGTTCGTTGAAGCACCTGCGTGTGCCCGAGGAAGCGAAGTGTTACCGGAGCTTTGAGTTTTTCCTAGACCACATGGATCCTTCGATTGCATGGACTTGCACTGTTTACAAAGTGCATGCATCAACTTCCCCTCCGGAATATTTGCTGCCCAGTGAGACTCGGCCGAGCAACCTGGGAGTGATCCGCTACGATGATGTATCTCGCTTGGATTTCTGGAAAGGCTCAGCAGCAGAAGATGAGGCTCGGAAACGTCCTTCAACGGGGCATGGCAAGGGTCCGGGCGGGCCGAGACCGCCTGGTGGGACTCGAAAACGCAAGGCTGAGGGCCCACTGGATCCTGCAGATGTGCATGTGGATGAGCATGAGGAGGGCAAGAGTAGTGAGGGGCATGTGCCAAATGATGACATGGCCTTGCTTTCGGCCTTACAAAATGAGGACAAAGGAGATGCGGAATCTTCTGTGGATGGAGGAGTTGAGAAGGAGCTTGAAGAATTGGAACATGGGCAAACCATTGTCGAAACCCAGGCCGATGAAATAGAGCCTGCCCCAGACCTCTCACGGGATGTTGAGGCTGCCGAAGTCAGCGAGGATTTCGATTTGGAAGCAGGCGAGCCGGATGGAGACGATGACAAGGCTGTGGATCCTGGTCCCTCCAACTTTCGAGATGAGCTGATGCGCAGACTGCAAAAGCTGACATACGACGACTTTGATTCTGACAAAGGTGCAGGTGTCGGTGGGGTATCTCCGCCTGCCCCGGACTCGCCGGTGCCTGCAGGACTTAGTGACGTGGCCTCAGATGCATTTTTTCCATCAGACGTGGAAGCGGAAGCTGCCGAACCAGGTCCTGTGAACCCACTCCCTGCCGAGCCTGCCGATGCTGAGCGAGATGCGGACGCTGCGCGAGATGCGAATGCTGAGCAGGAAGCCGAAGACCGTGCCTTACGAGCCGTGCCTGTAGGCGGTGACAGGATTCGTGTTGCCAGGAAAGGCTTCTTGGTGCATTACCCTGCAGAGGATTGCTTGGTTGCGGTGTGTCTCAAGCACAAAGACTGCCGGAAGAAAAGAACTTTGCTGCCCGGCCGCCGAGGCGGCCAGGGGAGATGCATAGGTTTTTTTGACGGCTTGGCTGAATGCATCTGCAGACTACGATTCTCAGCAAGCCCATGTGAATGCGTTTTCGACCACTTTGCAAGCACGCAGAGAAGCCCGACAGGAGTTCATGCGACTCCCCAATGCGGCCGACTGGGCCGCCATGGAGCGAGGTCACAGGGCCCCGGGAGAAGAAGACGAACCGGTGCGGTTTGTCTGAGCACTGTGGCAGAAGATTTCTTTCGGAGGCTTGGATGGCCGAAGCACAGAGGATTTACTTCGGATGCTTGGTGCCCCGTGCTGCTGCCCGAGCTGCAAAAAACAGCTGGACTGACTCTGCAGATTCTGCAGAGATGTTAGGTTATAAGATTGGATTAGATCATTTCAACAATCCGTGACATGACTGTACAATTCGTAGAGTCTTAGAGGTCGAAGTGTAGAGTGTAGAAGCCTGCCCAGCCCAGATTTGCGGTCCTGGTCCTAGGTGTGAAGTCCTCGAGTTTGGGAGTTTCGGGGTGTGCACTCTGCATTACCGAGTCTTCAGTCTTCGGCCTTACAGTACAGAGTCTCTTGAGCCCTATAGTCATATAGTCCTTTAGGTCCCTTTAGGTCCAAATCCCCTGGCTCCAGGATCCGAAAACTCTAGGAACCCAAGACCCCAGGCCAAGGCCGGAAACGCGAACATTACAGAAGAGCTCCACATAAGTGGTTGCCGAGGTCTTCAGGCAAAGTAAAGCCAACTTTTGTCCATCTCCCCAATCCGAGATCGATTCACCCTGTCAGGGGAGGTTTTCATCTCAGGATATTTTGGAAGACCTCCAACCCCAGAGTTAGTTCTTCGTGAGCTGCAGGGGTTGGGCTTAGGCCTTAGGCCTGTAGTACTTAGGTTCAGGCTCATTGTTGATTATCGGCAGTTCAGTAGTACAGGATTTCCCGTTGTGCATCCCACACCATTGCAGCCTGGACTGTAGCCTCTCTGTAGACTCTAGACTCTAGACTCTATAACTTTATAGACTCTAGACTCTAGACGAGACTTGCCATGCCGCATTGTCAACAGCTGCCAGGGTCTACATGATCCTCTTCCGCAGGGACAAGTACACATTGGAAGACGTGCAGAAGTTCAAAGAGATTTTCCAGGTCGCTTCCTTCTTGCTTGTGTGTTGGATCTCAGCTTCTACCCTTGAAATGACTTTATGTCAGAGTGATCAAGGTTCTGTGGATTGTCAGTGTGTGTCTTCAAGTCTTTCTGTTGCATTGACATCTGATGTTTCGAGTCGACCAGGGCAGCTACTGTAGTTTTTGTGGCATGGGCAGGCCATCCTTCAACGTCAGAGGACGGTGGAGCCCAAGCCGGTGGAATCCGTCCTTTTGCACAACAAGTCGCCACTTCTGAAGCTGGACCTGAAGCGTTTTGTTCAGGCAGGGCCGGCAGGGCATGTTGTGCAGGTTCACACTGGTTACCGGTTGGGCTGTGGCCTTAGGCGTCCTATATAGCAGCCTAGCAGTAGCAGGGCCTAGCCTAGTGAGGCTAAGCAGGCTTGGCCTGCCGGCTACGTTGCGACAGTGTACTGTTCACAAAACACCTTACATAACGGTTCGTGGTGCTCACTGAGTGACGGTTATGTCTTGTGTTTTGTGTTAACCGTACCCAGCCTTGGCCTAAGAGGCTAGCCGCTGTTCTTGGGGGCCACACTTCACTACACAGGCTAGCTGCCATCTGATTCTTTTGCAACGATGATGCAGGAGGAGGATGAGAGCATACCCGCTGGGTGGCTGTGGTGGCTGGGCTTTGGGGCTGGGGAAACTGGGGCTGGGGCTGGGGCCGCTAGGGGGCTGGGGGCTGGGGCTAGGGCCTAGGGCTAAACCGGGCTGGGGGCTGGGGCTGGGGGCTGGGGCTGGCGGCTGGGGTTGGGGGCTGGCGCTGAAATCCGGGGGCTGGGTGTGGGGTAGGGTGGGGCTGGCTTGGTGGGGGGGGCTGGGCTGGGCTGGGGTGCCCCAGCCCCCCCACCAAAATTCTGGAATTCATAAAAAAATCGAAAAACACAGTGTGTTTTTCGATTTTTTATGATTTTTTTATGATTTTTTTACGAATCCAGGTTTTCGGCCAGACGACGTGGAGAAATCCAGGAATTCATAAAAAAATCAAAAAACACACTGTGTTTTTTGATTTTTTTCGAAAAATTTTATGATTTTTTACGAAAAAACCCAATTCCGGCAGCCACTGGTTGACCGCAGTGCAGGAATTCAAAAAAAATCAAAAAATACAGTGTGTTTTTTGATTTTTTTTTATGAATTCCTGGATTTCTCCACTTTCCCAAATTTACGAACGAGTTTTCGACTCGCTGGATAGGTGGCTTCGGATTTATGAAAAATTTTTGGCCTGGTTTAGGACTCTGGGGCCTGTCGCTGTTTGGGTGCTTGTGCATGGCAGGAGCGCAGCGGCCACTTCTGGAAGGGCCGGGAACGCCTCGGTGAGAATCATGATCCACAAGAAGAAGTGGCTTGGAAGGCCCAGGTCCGTGCCTGGCGGAAGTCGCTGGGTGTGGGGACTGGTGTGAAACCGTTGGATGCCATGCGATTGCAGATCCGTGGGCTGCCCAATTTGAATGATCGTATCAGATCCTTGTTGAATATGGTAATTATTCACCATGGCATGGATGGACCGCAGGATCACTCCAGCTTGAAGGCCTGTGTGAAGGGGAAAACCCCGGGAGACGTCCTTTCACGAACAAGGACGGCTTGCATCGCACTCTTACAACGTCCAGCCTCCAGGTGCACCTTGGCAAGCGCAGAATCGTGACGCCTCGCGAAATGATGTTTCAGCAGGGATATCCGACTGCGATGATCGTGCCTGAGGGCATGTCTCAGGCTGCTTTGAAGAAACTGGCTGGGGAAGGGATGGCCCTTCCCTGTTTGGGACTTTGCTTGTGGTGCATCTTTCTGGTGAAAGGCTTCCCGGAGGGCTAGGGCCAGGCATATTGCAGAATGAAATTAAACCCTTCCAGCACCGGCCTACTAACTAAGCACTGACTACTGTGTCAGTATCTTTCTGATGTGCTTCGAGTTAGACTTTAGACTCTAGGCCCTAGGCTTTATGTGTGGGCCCTCCGGTGCTGGCATTTCACCAGTAGTGGGATGCGGTATGAACGTGAGAACTCTGTGGCGGTGTACAGGCGCCTGTATGTGGTACTTTGGAGCAGTGCTGTAGTAGTCACTAGTCACTACCCACTCACTAGTAGTCACTAGTCACTACTCTAGTCACTAGCCCTTTTCTGTGTTGTGTAAATTACAACTTGTTGAGCACGGTCAACTATGGTCAATGTACAACGTGGGGACGTTGGGTTGCCAACTGTGTTTTGTTTTTCACGAACTCAGGTGCATGTGCTTAGTGGTTCTGGTAGTGAGTCTACTTTTCCAGTCTCGACTTTGCAAGCGGTCCGTGTGGTAGTTTGTCATCATCTCAGTTGCAGATGCACACATGCACATACACCGTGCATACTTAGAAGGCGACCGTCGCAGTAGCCATTATGTGCTCTTTTGCTGGAGCCTTAGTTATGTGGGATGCCAATTCAGCAGATTTTCAGCCGACGTGCCACGGGGTCATCAGGATTTGCAGTTTGTTTTATACATTGGGACCAGTAGATTCAGATCTTGCCTTGCAATGTTGTGAGTGTAGTGATGCAGACGGTGGAGTGACTACGCGACTAGTACATACTGTGCAAAGACGCCGCCAGGCCTGTGCATTTTGAGAGTCAGGGAGACAGCAGGCCGTTCTCAGCCCATGCAAGCAAGCTTTTGGTGTAAATCAAGACTGACAGTGTAATCAGAGTTTGATTCAGGTTGGAGTGGGCTACTCAATGTGTGTTGCCCGGGGTTCTTTGATGAACGGGGTGCCCAATAATAGACCGTAGGCCGTAAGCCGTAGGCCAGATCCTTACAGATTCCAGAAGACCACCAGGGGCCATAGCAGGATAGGCAGTGGCTGATTGTAAGCTCAACCCCATAGTAGGTTCTGACTATAGACTTTAGGTCTTTAGGTTCCGCTTCTATGCTCCTGCAAGGCATTTGTCAGGAGGACCAGGTTTCAATTCTGTTGACAGCTGTCAACCGGGCCTGAAGTCTTGTGTGCCTAAGAGCGTTGCTCTTTGCAATTGAATCCTAGATTCTCTAGCTCTAGCAACCTGTGAGATGCGGTCTGCGGCTCGTTCGTGGCTCGCCTCTGGTGCTTGCTGCACCATTCGGAGAACAAGCCGGCTGGGCAGATGTGTGCCCCGCCCGATGTCAGCCGAGAGTTTGTTCAATAGTTGTTGACAGTTGTTCCAAGGAAACCGTTGCACAGCTGGTTTCGGGGCATTGCCACACATTCCGCTGTAGTGACTCAAGTTACTCTAGCTGGCCCTGGCGTTGCTGTCGGCTTTTAGGCCCCAGGCTCAAATCTAAAGCTAAACCTTGCACAACCTCGGCGCTGTTTGTTTTTGCTGTTGCTCTGTTGCACAGAGTGTCTGGGGTTGTAGGCCGGACATAGAAGGTACACTTCCGGACTTCTGGATGTTTGCCCTTGAATGCTTTAATTCGTAGATTCGTAGATGCCATGGCAATTCGAAATTTAGCAGCCGTGCACACTATCAGTACACTACAGTCTAGTTTCCTGTGAGTTGGCTGTGAGCTGCCTCTTGGGCTCTGGGTGCTTTCCCATCGGCAATCGTCCCGGCCCTAACCCTAAGGCCCTAAGAAACTTCTATAGTAGTCTGCTGCAGGACCCCAGGCCCTGGACCCTTGGCTTTCAGAACCTTGGTCGCAGAGCTCCGGAATCTGTGTCTGTGTCAGATAGTGACAGTGCTGTCAAGGTGTCGAAGTCATAGTGTTGTGCGGCTATACTATACCATACTTTACCACCCAAGAAGCCATGGAAGCATCGGATTGCTCCTGACCCATGTGGCACCACAGCTTGAAGCAGGCTCTGTCTAGTCTAGTGGCCGGATAGTCGGATAGTCTGACGTTGGCATGCAAAATGCTAGCCGCTAGCCGATGCCCACTGCAGCAGGCCTTGTCTTCCCAGTGGATTTTTTATCTCATAGTTTGCCGCATGCTGCTGCCACGCTGTTTTCTCCCGCCAGAAGTTTAGGAAGTTTAGGAGCCTTTAGCCACATACATGATTCCAAACACTGGAGCTGCTTGGCTTGCTGTAACACCCGTCACTACCCTACCCGCAAATTCTGCTGTAGCTCACAGTGTCGAACACGGGGACCACAGTATATTCCTGAAGCACAGATCCTGCGTGCCGGGCTCTACATTCTACAATATGAGTATATGTTACTAGCTGTTACTAGAGAGACTAGACTCCAGCTTTAGATTTGCATCAGCGGTGTTGCAAATTGCCAGACAAGATTACAATGGAACGCATTATGCCAGGTGCTAGTGATGCCTGCTAAGAGTTGCGGTAGTTGCCTCGGTTAAGTCGTTGCTTGCCTGCTTGATTGTTTGGGGGCCGGTGGCGGCCGTAGCCGTAGCCGTGCAGTCCTACATCCAGTGTTTACTCAGGGCTTCTGTTACTTACTTTTTGTTCGTTGAAAGTCACTTGGGGATGTCGCTCATTTGTTGCTGGTGTCTAGTCTAGTGATAGTGAGTAGTGGCTGGCCAATCTAGTCGTTCTAGTGACTTCATTGGAAAGTACACCCGAAGCTTCCACACTAGCTGCTAGCTAGCCGCTAGCCTTGAGCACACAATAATTAGCGTTGCGTGGCATAGTGGCATAGTGAGGTAGGACGATAGCAGCTCCGATAGCAGTCGGTCAATAGGTAGGCTGAGGCTGGAGGGAGAGGCGCATGAGTGCAGGAAGGTAATGACGTAGACTATTGACTATAGACTATAGCGTCTATAGTAACTATAGACTATAAACGCGAATGGTGGCAGTGTGCGGCAGAGTTTACACAGTTCACGTGTCACATCAGTTTGCGGCATAGCTGTTGCAAGCTCCGGCACTGTGATGTGCTGCTCTTGTGTTTTGTGACTTGCTAGTGCATCGCACCTGGACCTTTACGTAACTAGTAACTAGTCGGGTAGGGCCGGGTTCTTGAACTTGAGGACTTAGAGTCTCACATCTTTGTATCAGTTGCAGATGCTTCTAATGATTCTAATGTAGGCAATGTAGGCCTAACTTACAAGCCGTTGAAAGTTGAAAGTCTGTTTCGATGAACAGTGGCTTGCTGCAAGGTCGCTTGTTTTTTGCCGCATATGCAATCTGGAGATACTCGACCCATGTGCGGTCGTGGTCGTGGTGCTATTCCTGGGGCAACTCTGTATGACTCTGTATTACTATATACTCTACAATGTACTCTACAACTCTTATAACTCCTCTTGTGTACGTGTGTTGTTTCCGTTGGCTGGCCTTCCTTGCAGCCCCAGCGAAAGGATGCACTCCACACGACCGACACAGTCATGAGTTGAGTTGCTCGAACGGCTCCATGGATCACTAGGCCAGGCAGATGCAAAAGGAAACACAATGTGCTTCCCGAAGTAGCAGTAGCAGCTCTGAGCTATCAGAACTATCACGCATGCCTGGAGTGTGGAGGACACACTGCATGAGAAGCTGCTGCAACATTACGACAGGACAGATCGAAATCCTGTTTGGGGTAGTGAGGCACCCCAGGCCCCCGTGTCTGACCGCATGGCCAAGCCGAGCACGAAGCTGCAAGGGCAGCGCAAGGCTGCGGCTAAAACGAAAGCCAAAGCTACTCCTAAGGGGAAAGCGGCAAAGGCGGCGTCTAGCAGCAAGCCAGCAGTGCCAGACAAGGCCAAGGCCAAGCCACCCAAGGCTGTCAAGAACAAGAGTGGCATCAAGAAGGCTGGCTGGCTGCCTTGCTGATGGGTATGACGAGTATGAGTATGATGTTGGTGGGATTGGCGCATTTTGGTTTTCGGGAGTCCGTGTGTCTGAGGTCGCCCGAACTGCCCATCGGTTTCCGACTCGCTGATAGCAAATCCGAAGAGAATCACATGTGCAGAGTTTTGCTATGGAGTAGTTCGTGAACGTGTGCACTGTGCATTGGTACTCTAGTACAGTATCAGTTCAGTTCAATTTTCATTTGCAGCCGTGCTTCTTGCGACAGCTGCTATGGTTCCAACAGTCGTGCCCGTGCAGGTGCTTGGAACCAAGAAAATCAAGAGTGAAGCAGGGAAGTCGAAGGCGAAGGTGAAGAAGTGGGCTCCATGCCTCATGTGTGGACGCACACCGGAGGACACCTCTTGCAGCCTCTTGCATTTATTTTTCATACTGTCTAGCAGAATTTATCCGCTAGCTCCTAGTCAAATGGTTGCTACATCCGGTGGCCGCCTCTAGAGTCTCTAGACAGTCTAGAAACACGTGATACCACTAGGCTTCGGGCGACTCCCGAGATTCTAGGCTCGGCTCTAGACGTCGTGATCTGTTGCAGACTGCGTCAAGCACTCTCCAGAGAACCCGACGGGCCCCAGGATCCATACTAGAGGTTATCGTCCCAACTCACAGAGTTTGTAAAGCCCTGACAGGAGGTAACAAAAAGCAAAGAGGTCTGGGGACAGTACACCGAGACTGGTGAGCGTTTGGGGTCCGCCTGCCGCGTGGACAAGGAGACGGTCGAGGAAGGGTGGCCAGGTCTGCCGTTCCAGGATGCATCGAAGCTCTGGCACTCCAAGGAGCAGAAATCCTTGGCCTTCCGAACCGAATACGCGACGGCACGCAGAATCAAGAAAGACACAGGCATCCTGCAGAAAAGATTTAACCCCTCCAGCACCGTGCAGACGGGCAAGATCAGATTCAGGATGGTGTTTCATGATATTGGGTTCCTCACGGATGCTGAATTTGCTAGTGTGGTGGGTGCATCAAGCTCGAGCTTGAAGCTCAAGACCCACCGGGGCCGGGAACAGATTGAAGACAGAGAAGAGAGCGTCCAGGGTGTCTATGTGAGCCTGAGAGATCTCCCGGACGGTTTGCTAGGATGGATCCGCAAGGTCCGGAGTGGGTTCTTGGTCCAAGTCCAGGCGCAGGACAAGCGACTCACCCCAGCTCATCAAATCAGACAGGGCCAAGGGCAGGTCCTCTTCGATCATTTTTCTGAGGTCCTCCTGAACTCTACCGAGAGCGCGAGCAGGTCCAAGCACCGCCCGTCTCTCCCGAAGATTCCGTCGCTCATCGAGCAGCTGAACAGTCTGCAGGAGGAGACCGACAACATGCCATGTGCAAGCCAAGCCTCCAAGCCGTTTGAAGCGAAACCATCGTTTTGTCCTATGCCTATAGGGCGGCTAGCTGCTAGCTGCTAGGCTAGCCGGCTAGCCACTATTTTTGTTACTAGGCTTACTGGGCTGCTAGATTCTGCTAGCTGCTAGATTCTAGATGCGAGGGTCAGGCCCAGGCTTCGTGAGGTTGCGCAGGGGATAGGGTAGTGGAAACGGCATCCGATGCCCTTTTTCATGGACCCGGTGTGTCACGGTATGTGTCGCAGTGAAAGATGTAAAAGCTGTCGAGGTCGAGGCTTTCGGATTTGCGGTTGACGTAGCCGTAGCCGCAGTGACAGTGTCATAGGTCGAGGCCAGTTAACATGAATGTAGTTTGACAGCTGCTCGGGTACCAAGTGAATCACTGAGTCTATCTGAGCCAATGACAGAGCTGCAAGGATTCCGTGCGTCAGTCCATCGTGTGTCCTATGTCCTATGTGAGAAGAGCCGGGCTGCAGCCGCAGCCCGCGACACACTAGTAGCAGTGGCTTTTGCGACCGTCAATCAATGTCCAAGCAAACGAAAGTTCATTCGTCGGGGGTCGGAGGTCGTTTCTAATCAGCTGGTCGTTGAAACCAAGGGACTGTCAAATAGCGAGGAAGTCTATCCCAGGCTATGAAGCTCAACTTCTTTGTACTTAACCACTTCAGCAAAATAGGCTATATGATGTGGGAATGTTTGTGATTGGTTTTGATATGTTCCTACTTAGTCTGGTTCTGGTTTCGCTGTCTGTGATTTCGAGGTTATGTGGGCATGTCCGTTCAGATGTAAGTTTATGTCATTTCGTATGTCCATGCCGCGGTAATGAAGTGTTCAATCGTGTACTTACTGTGTTGCCCGACCAAGTCTGCGCCCATCGGACTGGCGGGGGCCTTCATGCTTGCCAAATGCCTGTGTCCAAAATCTAGAATCTAGATTTTATTTTTCAACTTCTGGGTAGTCGGGAAGTCTTCCGGAAAGACAATCGTCTGCAGGAGAAGGAAGCGGCGGAGCAGGCAGAGCAGGAGGAGGAGAACGATGGCCAAGAGGGCGAGCATGGAGAGGAGGAGGAAAACTTCATGGAGGACCCCTGTATCGGACTCGACGAGGAGTTGCCCAAGAACGACCAGCACTCCGTGATCTCCTCCCAGTTGAAGCTGCGGCCAGACTTGCTGGCTGGTGCTGCAGGCTCAGTGGCCGGATCCTTTGACCAGCCCATGAAAGCGAAGCAGACATCCAGCAAGGCCCGGAGAAAGAAGAAGGACATTCTGGAGGACGACGACCAGGCCAGTGCAGAAGCGGAGGAGGCCACGCAGGTTGATCCATCCGAGATTCCTCAGTGGATGAAAGACGATGACGTGCTGTCCCAGGTGGTGAAGAAGTTGGGCAAAATTCACAAATGCTTCCATCATCTCAATCCCCGTACCGGCTTCGAGCAGCGACTGGCCCTAGGACACCAGTTGCGAGGAGTTGCTCGTCATGTCATCATGACATCCGCGCTGCCAGTTGACTAGGCCTAGACTCCAGGCCATATGCCATAGGCCATAGGCCATAGGCCCTATGTATACCTGTCTAGTTTCATTGTTTCTAGACTTCGAGACGGTCTGTATTCTACATTATGACAAAATACAAGTTGTTACAAGACAACAAGACACCTCAACCAATAAATACAAAAGAATGAGTGTGTGTGTAAGTCTATCAGTGTAGATAGATAGACAGGTGGATTGAAAACATATAGACAAGTACATAGATCATTGTCGTTGATGTCGCATGGCCCCGGGCGTGAATACTAGTTGATCTTGCTGTTGATAGTGAATCTGATAGTGAGAGTGACAGTGACGGATACTGCTGCTAGTGCTACGAGGAGGACTAGGACAAGGACTGTGACTGTGAATGTCACTTCTGTCTATGCTTTTGGGGCATCGGTGGGGACAACGACGATGACCTGTTACTTGAGTTGCACAAGTACTACATAGAACTACTACTGGTATGGTACTATTATTATTATTACTGCTACTGTACTTCTAGTACTATGACGACGACGACGACGACGACTACTACTACTACTACTACTACTACTCCTACTACTACTCGTACTACTACTCCTACGACTCCTACTACCAGTACTACTACTACCACCACCACTAGTAAGT